GTCTGTGCAATGAAGTTATGTAGCCACAAGAGATTTAATGTAACTCCCACCAACAGAAATTTGTAAAAATCTCTTTGTATCATGATAAGGAAGTCTATCGCCTGCCATTAGCTCTGTTGTCTATTTTGTAGGCAGTCTGGTGGAAGTGACTGGTGTAGTTCTTAGAGTGGAGGAGTGAAAGGTCAGCAGAGGCTTAAATGAGCTTGTCTTATATCCAGCTGGGCCAGCAGGAGGTCATTAGGAAGATGGGAGGCTCACTTTAGGCTTGACAGAGTCTCTCCCCACGATACTAGGAGGCTGTTTTGCTCATTGTTCTTCTCCCAGTATATAAAAGGAACTCCAGAGACAGAAATGACACCAAAGTTTATTTTACCCACCAAATTTTCATGAGGAGGGGCACAACTAGCAATCACTCACAAGGGGGATTTATTTTGTTTGTTTGCCTTTGATGGAAAGTAATGGAGATAAGTACAAAAGACCTATTGATCTGCTGGCTCTATTGTGAAACCAAATAAAGTAATAAGGGGAAAAGAATCTCTTCCTTAACATTTAAAAGTCAGAGGACTTGCTTCACTTCATAAGAGAATTTTGAGAAAGGAGAGTTGCAGTTTGATTGGCAAAAATATAGGAAATGAAATAAATCGCTGATACCTTAAAACGTTCTCTTCTCGTACTTGGAGGGGATTAACAGGCTGTATTTGACAGCTAATTATATTAGGGCAAATATACTAATAGTTATCTTGAATTGATGCTGAGTAGCTCATTTCTTGGAGGTATTGCCTAGTGAAATCATGTGTATTTACTGAAAAATCTCTCCTTAGAAAAGTTCTAAGTTCCCAAACATAGAGAATGATGGGAAAAATGGATGTTGCTGCTGAGGTGATAACAGGAGGCAGGTAGCATGTTTTCGCATCTTCACCTCTATTGTTAATGTATGCAGTGGCTCATCAAAGGTAGCTCATGTTAATTTATTCCTGCACACCTGTACAGGGCTGGAAGTCAGGTAATCAGATGAGCAAAAACTATACATCTTTGCTTTTTAGCTACAGCTACCCAGAGGCCTATATATGAACAAATTTAGTTCTGGAAACATCAGCAGGTTTTAATAAAGCAAATACAGATGTCTTACTCCATACAAATCAAGAAGTTTACATGTTTAAATCTGGACTGATTTAACTAGCAATCAAAGAGAAAGTTCACACTTGGCACCAATAGTTGCCTCATATTTATTTATAAATCATCCTAAGCAAATATTATTTTGTTTTAAAATTTATTCATAAGGCTGAATCACCTTTCCTACACCTTGAAGATCAAAGATATATGCTTACCTGATACAATTTAAGACAAACTTTGGCAATTAGTGGCCACTATTCTCAGAGGAAGAGAGGAATAAAGATGGTGAAAGTCAGATAAAATGAAAAACAAAGGAGGTAAATATTTCTTTCTTTGTGAATCATCTAGTTTCTCTGTAGGAAGTCTTCATTTTAGTGAAGAGAGTTTTAAAACTGCCAACCACTAAAAGAGAGGTAAATAGATTTTAACATATTAGTAAATGATAAGAAATTTCAGGGAGGACAGAGGGTATGTCTGTCTGTATTTTCTGAATAAAAACCAAATGCAATTTATTAATAGGCTTCCCTTAACTACAGGTGACCCATGGCCAATCAGTTCTCCTGCGGATCAAAATTCAAGGCAGAAGGTGAGACTGTGACCAAAGGCAAATTAGGCCAAGCTAATTCTGACTGTGATCCTGTCTTCAAGAAAATGTCCTTTATGAACACCACAGGTTCTAGGCCAGTTAGTTATAACTTCGTCTTCCCAGGGAGTTTTCCATGTGAATACTTCAAAACCGAAGGCCAACAACTTCCTTTTACCTGACAGAACAGCATCTTAATAGCAGAAAATCATGGGATAAATCAAGAAGGAAGAAAGGAAAGGTGTTTAGAGACTTTCAGGACTAACACTACACAACGTTATCAATATACACTTAAACACTTTAGCAATCACCTTATTGTATCATGAAGAAAATAATTTACATTTAACTTCTCTAACTCAGACTAAAAATTATTCTAACAGCTACCTATAGACTGGATGGATTGGACTTTTTGTGTTTATTAGCTTGTTCCTTGTCATTAGAGTGAAATGGTCCTCTTTGCCTTTGAATTTATTAAACTCACGCTCACTCATTCACAACTGTACAAAAAGGATAACTCAAACACTGCTTAGAATCCTCAGCCCTCACAAACCTTGTGTGTGCCCCATTCTCTCCTCCCTTTTTGCTGAATTTAGACAAAGAACATTCTTGCTCTGCAAAAAGCCTTCAACGTGATCTTATAAAATCTAGAAAGACCATAAGCAAAGATCTGGAAGACTCTGTTAACTATCTGCCAAATCTAAAACGCAGTATTTAACATCTTTCTACTTTCATATTATTTTAACATGCTTGTCTAGAGACCAAAAATGCAACTCCCTTGGGAGAAACCCAAGAAGACCTGTGTATCACTCCTCTAAGGTGTTCTAAGCCCATGGACAAGAAGGCTGCTTTCATAAACAGGAGGAAAAGGGTTATTCTGTTAGTTTTTATCACAGACATCCTAGAAACCCTGTAGCCTTGCACACTTCAGCCCCCACTCAAAATCCCTTCTAATGCTTTATTTGCACAAGGAAGACATTGTAGAGTCAAGGATGGATGAATCGAGACTCTGGGGAGAGGAAAGAACTGGGCCTGAGGAGAGCAGGATTAAAAGGCAAAGGATGGTTTCTGTTTGGGAAGGTCTGTTGGCTCAGAGAAAAGGTAAGAAAACCTGTCTTAGCTTCACAGTGAATTGAAGAGGAAAAAAGCAGGGACGCAAAATTCCTGGGGTTCTTGTAACTGATGCAGTAAAAGTGAAGAGAAAGGGGAAGGTAAGTCTAAGGGGTAGATCAGAGATGTGATCCAAGAGGCTTCATGAATAGGAGGTTGAATTACAGGTTGACATTAGTTGATGAAATGGAAATGAAAGGCAGAAACAGGAATATAGTTATGTTTGAGTCCACTCTGCTGAGATGCAGGAAGAGGCTGGTACCCAATGGCATCTACTGTTTCTGGTTAGTTGGTGGTAACTACACTTGCATTGAGTGTTAATTCGAGTCACAGACTCAACAAGGATGAACACTTTTCTTCTTAAAAAAATTTCAAAATTAAAGTACCAAAATTTTCGTTAAGTTTTAACCTGGGATCGAAATAGTTGACTACTCTTAAAAAGCAAAATTTCAAGTGAGAATCAAAAAACTTCCTTTGTACAGTATTTTTTTCAACTCGCTTTTCTTCATTTATCATGTATGACAAAATCCCAGGATTAAAAAGATCAGATGTGATGTGATATTTCACCCAAATGAAATGCATCACCTGTCTTACATGGTTTGCCATCTCTTGTGTGACTGTACACACACAGGGGAATATTAGTACTAGTCTTCCCACCTAGAATATCCTAGACACTGTTCTAAATTCTATATGGCTAGTTAACTACCAAATTCCCAATCCTTAGAAAAATGGGAGATATTCACCTATCAATAAGTGTTGTTTCCTTAGACAAACCACCCTCTCAACAGTACCTCCTTATGTACTAGGACATAAAAACACATGTGACATAAATGAAAGCACCAAGCTTTGGGTGTTGTAGCCTTTTGGTCCCAGAGTCATTTATTCTAGTGTTATGACTTGCAATGTTTTCAGCAAAGCAACTAAAACTGTGATAGGAATTCATGCAAATAAGCTTAAATTTTGGCTTGTCTTCAAACACTCCATTTCCATAAATATTTTATGCATGTTTTCATGAGTCTTTTATTTTTGGTTTAAAAAAAAAAATCCAATGCATTAACCTCATTATTACAAGTACTCTATTTCAAATGTAAAAGAATGAATGAATGTCACTCGCAAACGTTGGGTACAGTATTGTATTTTATTATACAAACTATAGCTATCTTATTGGCCACATTCTGGGACTGTCGATGATAACTCAGAACTGAAAAGAATGTTGTTACCATAAACCATTTTTACAGAACAGAATAAATGGGAGTGGGGGAGAGGGGGTTAGCGAGGGGAAATCTTTAAGAAGATAGATTTCTCTTCAAAGCGTGTTTTGAATTGTATAAAGAGAGCCACTTACTTTCTCAGAAATTTTGCTTTTCATGGATTGGCCCCTTGCACTATACTTCAGTATAATGGGGAAAAATTTTAAACCTTAAAAAAAGACTAATCTTTTAAATATGAAGACAAAACAGAGTATTCTAGAAGCAGGTCACTATTTTTCAGTTTTACCTTAATTATACGTTATTTTGTCAAAGAACTCTATCTAACTGATAAGCACTACAATTTAGGTAGTAGCTTTTGGAAAATTCATAGTTAATTTTGTTTCTTCTATGTATAATGATTTTTACCATGTAATAAAAGTTTCTCTAAAAGTATTTTTAAAAGACCATGTAAAACCAAAAATCAGATCCAAGATAATAGGAAGAGTTAACTGGTGTGTGACTCTAGTTGTGCTGGTGTATTATGTAAATGATCTGCTCACAAGCTTATTGCCCCAAGCATAGGATAACTGTGGCACCCTACCACTGACCACCTTGACACATTCCATTTATATTACATTTTCTTTAGGGCTGAAAAAGAACATTGTAGGTTTAAGACCAGCTGCTTCTGTTTAAGCCCAACTGTTTCAGAGTTGCAGCTACATAGCTAAGGTCTGATGTCATCTGAAGGCTGGACATAATATATTCTAACTAATCCTAAAAGTATATGCATGCCTCCCTTTCTCTGTAGAATTCCCATGATACTTCAGGGTATTTTAGAGATGTGCTCAAAGACATCGTGAAACTAAAATAAATAAACCTACACCGCCATACCATTTCCCCATATTAACAATTAATTTGGTCCCATTTTCTTCTGATGTTTTCATGACTCAAAGAATTCAAGGATACACTAAATACTCATGTAAGAATGATAACATTTCTGGTTATACCTACGGAGTTGCAGGCTGTCTCGATGTCCTGGACCTATGGTTCTTTCCATCCGTAAATTTCTGTTTCTATATTGGATAAATATGTGTGTATGAAGATAATATACTGATTTAATTAAAAAGCCACAAGGCAAAGCAGAAATATATATAACAGAAGCTGCGGCTTCTAAGTGAAAGTTCATGGGGAAGCAGGGAACTGTGTACATAGTTAACTGATTCACACACCTAGATGCATGGAAAAACATACACACACACATACACGGAGCACGGAGAAAAATGGCGTGCATTACTGGGTAAGATGGCATATGATTCTGCATGCTTAATCATAACAAGCATCAACTGCAACAATCCTTTATGAGCATGGCAGCTTAGTTATCTTGTGGTCACTGTGGACAATCTTTACAGTGCATCAAAAACAGCTAAGCTGGACTTTTTAATGTTAAGTCCAACATGACTGGCACCCTCCACCCCCGGCAGGAGCAGCCAATGGAGATTTACTGACCTGTCTCTGCTTCGGCGAGAGGGGAAGGCAGCATTGCAGCCAGCCACGGTGCAGACGTGCATCTCTTTTAAGTGAACGTTCCTGTAGTGAAGCTTCACACTGTAGGAGCTTTTGAAACTCTTCTTGCACACATAACAGATTTTGGGGTCTGGGCTAGAACACAGATCACCTTCTGGGGAGAACTTTTGAGGGCTGCCGTAATTCAGAGATGAGGCAAAACTTTCATGCAGGGCTGCCATGCTGGCTCCTCCACCATTGTACAGTCCATACTGGCTCATGTAAAACATGTCGTAAGTGGGATCTGTAAATTCTTCCTTCACCTTGATGATGTCCTGGTGGGAGGACTCACTGTGGTTCTCGTCAGGCCTCTCACTGTTCATTAGGACTTTTTCACTCACTTCACCATGAATGTGCTCATCCCCTTCCATGGATTCCTCACCGAGTTTGGGCTCTGATGACTCGGACTCATTCTCATAGTCCCGCTCAGGTTCTTGGTCCTCAGAGGTCATGCTGTCAGCCCTTCTTATTTCAGTCCTTGAAATGCACCGGGACCTGCTATGCTTAGAAAAGTCCTTCACAGACATGCCTGGACTCATCTCCTCCTGGGAGTGGCAGTGATTGTCCTGGCTCACGTCATTGACCATAGCTCCAGCGTCACTGGGGTCATCATCTTCATCATCGAACTCATCGGCGGTATCGATAATTTCCTTCTCAATCTTTACAGGCATGCTGGACTTCCTGGGCTTCTTCTTTGGGGCCAGGTCAGCACTAGGCTCGTGAGTGGCCATCATCACGACTGGCGCTACTGGCTCGGAGGGTGGTGCAGGGTGCTGCTCTAAGGTACCACTGGTTGGGATGATGGGACTGGTCGGGAGGGAGGTGGGAGGGCTCACCATTTCCCCTGGAGTGAGTAAACTTCTATAAAATGGAGGAACTGGCTGCACAGTCTTTAGCCCAGAGAACATCAGCTGGTTAGGGAGAGGATTCTGTAAGATGGGGTCTAATGGGGGAGTGGTAAAACCCATTGGGGGCCGGCCAGGGCTGGTGAGTGTGAGGCTTGATTTTGTACTTGCTATGACGGGGGTGGCAGCTCCTGATGTGGCCCGAATTAAATCTTTGTCTCGATTATTCCTTAGCATAGGCATGTGAAGGCGAGGGTTGGGGTTTGCACTGTGGCGATTACGGCTTCGGAGGGAGCTAAAGACCATGTTGCAACCTTCGATGGTGCATCGATGTTTGATCTTCAGGTGAACAGCATTATAATGAATTTTGAGAGTACCTTTGTCATAGAATGTCTTCCCACATGCGTTACAGAACACTCTTCCCTTTCTAGAGGCTGACCCCATCCTTCTCATCCTGTGAATCCGGAATGAGCTTTTTGGGTGTTCAGTTTTGGTTAGATCACTGACTGGGGCAGAATTCTGAATGGGGGACACACAGGTTGGCTCGGTTTTGGGCTCCACATTAGTAATGCTGGTCAGGGCATTTCTATTGGATGTCTGATCATTCTTATAAGGTGTGGGAGATACTTCAGATTCACTGCTCTCATTATATTCATTTTGAGTTGAAAGGCTCGGTTCCCTCAACCGCAGTCCTGGCTGCTCTAACAGAAGCCCATTGGGAGGCAATCCTAGCAATGGGGCCGAGACCGGGTTTATGTACTGGAATGGAAGCAGAAATGCAAGGCTGTTGGGGATGTTTTCGAAGTGATGAATGCTGGAAGGGTTGCTGTTCTCTAGGTGAGCAAGGAGGCTGGGACTCCTGGTACGATTATTGCTCTCGATGAAAGTCCTTATGTCTGAGTCTGTCTTTGAAGATGGTACAGCCACGGCCTGCCCTTCTTTCTCCTGAATTGCCATCAGCTCTACAATGGATTTGGTTTCTCCAAATCGCAGAAACTGCTGAAGGGTGATGATTTCCTCTTCTCGAGACATGATGGCCCAGCGGTCCAGCACCTTGCCGGCAGCATCCTAGAGGCCACATCAAAAAAACAACAAAGACAAACACAAAAAACTTATTGATTGTGCATAATTATTTAACGTAACTGAAGGTGCTCTGTCTGCTCATGAAACACAGAGAGCAAGAGCAGAAAACAACATGCAAACACTGTTAATAGAAGTCGACCCACAAAGCAAACTTTTCTGCCATGCAAATGTAGTCATTAGAGTCACAGTTAGAGAAACAGATTGAGTTTAATAATGTCAAAACAAACAAAATGTAGACCACTGGGGCTCTGTGAGCTAAAATGCCTTCACTACTGCTATTTTAACAACAATGGTCTATATACTATGCAACTATTTAGCATACATTAGTACAAGACGTGAACTCCTGCTGTGCAACCCAGTATAAATGCAAAAAATGGTACTTTAATCCTTACTAAATAATGACACCATACGAAGGAATTAAATAAATTTTGTGAATTTTACTTCTTCAACACAAGCAGACGTGACACTGGATTCGACGACGAAAATTCCTTTAAATAGGAGCGATTATGTGAATTTCTAAATCAAAAAGATGAATATGAAGTAGCATTACCTCCTAAACTCCCATTACTAAGCCATATTTTTTCTTATTTTAATGGCTATATTCTAGTGTCATTTAATTGTGGGCAATTTTATAAGGTAGAGTAAGGAAAAACAGTAGTTGTCTTTTTCCAGAAAACTGATTGTAATCCTATGACTCAAAGTTTGAGTTAGACTTAAAGTATTTGACTTTTATGATCTTGTTATAGATGACAGTTACAGATATTGAGAAAGTAAACACGTGATGGATTTAGATGGAATAAATGTGTAAAAATGTTGTCTCTTAACATCCTTCTCTGATAGCAAAGGGAGTCCACAGAGAATACACATCAGTAATCACCAGACTATGTGTTGTTAAATATACATTAAAAAGTATTTCACACTTTCATTTTTGCTAGTAACTATAAGATTTGCCTGGAGGTAGGACTTAAAAATCCTGCAATGTAATGTCAGGCAATCCATTTCAGCACGGATCGAGAGAAATCTATTCAAACACTTAAATAATGACTCCATCATTTTCTAGGGCACGGCTTCTTCCCACCAGGACAGGACACTTTGCAACCTTCTGTGAATGACACTTGCTCCAACCGTGACCATTAATTTAAGAAAGCATAAAATCTTAAAAAAAAAAAAAGCAAAAAAGATACTTATTAATTACAGAAAAAAATCATAACGTTATAATGGAGAAACCCAACAGATACCACTTTAACCAAGTGATCGTAGTTAACATCAGCAGTGATAAGTACTGTCACATACCTACTGACATAGGTACTGAGAACGGTACATCATTCCTTTTGTGGTTATAACATCAATCTAATCATGAGAAAACATCAGACAAATCAAATTGAAGGGCATTCTACAGAACTATGGCTAGTACTCTTCAAAGTGTAAAGTCAGGAAAGATTAAAAAAAAATACCAAGAATAGTTATCAATTGGAGGAAACTAAGAAAATAGGATATATGAGCATAACGTGAAATCCTAGAGATCCTATACCAGAAACAGGACATTAGTAGGAAGACTGGCAAATGTGAATAGAGTCTCTAGTTAATAGTATGGTATCAATCTTATGTTACATTAGGGGAAGCAGGATAAAGGGAACTACTACTACTTCAATGGAAAATTCTCTCTCGTATACAGTTCTACTCAGCCTTGCCGTATAAAATTCTCTCTGGACCACAGTCATATGGTCTGAACCATGACAACTAGTTTGATTATAAAAAGATGTCTGTCATGTATTTAAATTACTTTAAAAAAAGAAGCTCTGATAGTTATTTGCTCTTCTTTATAAGGCTCACTCCTAGCATTCTATAATTTAAAAAAAAAAGTATGTGTAAGGGTGTATATACAGGTGTCCATTCTTACATAAACTGTCAAACACAGATGTCCCTCCCTTATATTGTAGATAAAATTAGCCTTCAGATAAAATGCTCCCCCCAGCTATCTGCTCAGAATAGTCAATATAATGATGTGGGTACATGTTGACTTTGGGTGATCCTGGAGTTCTACAATAGCCATTTTTTAAAAAAGGTATCACTCATAGCAATTGGTCTATCGTATAGTTTTTTTTTTTTTTTTGAATAGGGCAAGCAAGGGGGAGTGCTGTCATTACAGATAAACAGAATGAATTTAAATTGTGATTTTGTACATATTATCTCAACCTCTAATAGCTTTCGGAGCTCAGCAAATATTTAATAGATGTGAAACTGGAAATGAAGAAAGATAAGATGATTCTTAAAGTTGCCAAACTGCTAACTTGGAATCCAAGACTTGAATCCAGAAATTCTGACTCCAAGTTTACTGAGCACAGTGACTGTCATTCCATGATGCCATTTCCCTGGGGAGTACACTGAGTTTGTGATAACAAGGAGTAGGAGTTCTCCTAAACGAGGCTGGTCTCTAGAGCACTGCTATGTCCTCTTCTACACCATTTTCTTTACCATCAAATCCACTCTCTTGCTTGTTCTTTATAGAGCCTTTCACTGTAACTGTTCTCAGGCTGAAATCCAGTGTGAGCAGCATACAGTCATTTCTTCCTCAGGTTCTCCCCAGGTAGCCTGCACCTACATCTACATGTCGATAACGTACTTATATAGCTGCCAGCCTCTCGTATTAAAACAGTCCTTAGGAACCATAGAAACTGATCAAACCCACCTGAGGCATCTCCTTTCCATCACCCTCCTGTCTTCCTTCACCCACATGGTTTCTCTTTTCTCCTGGTCTGTCACAATGCCTGCTGCTATTTCTGAAACCACTACCTTTCAGACACTTTTTTAGTCCTGAGAAACTGTCTATGCTAAAATAGAGACTGTTATGGTAAATCACTTAACTTTTTGTGGAAGAGATCCAGGTAAGTAAGACTTAAAACTTTGTTGGTAGCCTGAATCATGAAAGAGAAGCTTCATTTACAGTAGTGAGAGAAGCAGTAAACTACACTAACTTGGAAAAAGGACAAATATTTATAGTACACATTCAACCTGGAGTCTGGGCCATATGAAGTACCACAAAAGTTCTTTCCAAAGAAGCTAGCATTCATATTTGATCAAGATAATCTAATACCATCATGTTCGTAAATGAAGAAACTATAGTGAGAAACAAAGTGACTTTCTTAGCAACATGAGTCTGCAAGCTCCACGCTAGGAATGGCTATCAGTTTTAGTGTATTCTTGGATAAACTGGTGGAAAGGAGTTAGAAATCATCAAAAGGAAAACAGGGAAGCCCACTTTCTTTTTTTTGAAGATCTCTGTCACAGAAATAAGCACATTCCGATGCTGTGATTCTCTGGTGTTAGACTTCACTGCTGAGGTAAGAATATGTATGAGAGGTCTATATGCTATTCAAAAAGGACTAGTGCCAGTATAAGGGCTTCCCCCGCCACCCCAAGCCTACAGCACCTGGTCTTCCTACGTGGTCTCCCATCCAAGTACTAACCAGGCTCAACCCTGCTTAGCTTCCGAGATCAGACATTGGGCTTGTTCAGGGTGACATGGCCATAGACTAAGGGCTATTTTTTTTTAACTGTTCTGCAAGTAGTTGAGAGTAACCATTTGGAAACCTTTATGACAATTTGATACTGCTACAAGAACTAAAGGCATGATTTTTTAAAGTAATTTATTTTTATTTAACTTAAGTGTTGACTCACGACTGAATAGGGGGAAAACTGGTCCTTCCGCACAGATAGTTTGAGAAGTACAGATGTAAAATCTAGGCCTCCTTGCCACGTCAAAGAAACATTACCAGAGAGAATAAGAGCCATAAAAAGAATCAGGTATTATCACCAAATAAACGTTAATAAAACAAAATTTCAGTCTGTTAAGCCATTATAAATATCTTGACTGCTGACCAAGCCATATTGGGACATTCGTCCTTGCATGAACAGTAAATTACATCAAGTATATAAATGGACACTTGTCTGTAACATTCAATTTTGTAGTTGGTAAGTCAATTCCTCTAGGCTTTTCCATTTGTAACCAGAGTTCAGTGACCTTTAACCCTTTACACGGGGAATTGTTATTTACAAAATGAGGATAATAGGATAATAAGATTTACCTTAAGTGAAATGCGAGGTATTATTATAAGTATTGCTTTCTTGTGAAAATAACTGGCTATACTATTAATTAAAAGATGAGTAACACTAAATAATCCAGACTTATAAACCAGTTTTACTGGGTTCAGAAAAAGTATAAAACACTTAAAATATTTATATCTAAGCATTTTACATAAAGAGTTCCTTTTATTATTTCACTAGAACTAGTGACTGTCACTTGGTATAAACCTGGCACCCAATTCTATATGGCTCTGAAGAGTAATTTTTTAAAATCTTTTTTGTAGTAGATCACTTGCCATGGTTTGGATGGTTTTATGTGAGCCTTTTCTTCACATCAAAGCATCTTATATGACTTGTAGTTTTAAAATCAAAGTAAAGTAAGGTGTATTTTTTTTTTTTTTTTAATTCAGGGAAGAGAAATAGTAGAGAAGGAAAGGATGTAAAGAGAAGGAAGAGAGACCAGATAAGCAGCTTTGGGATAATCGGATTGTCAGGAGACCTCAAGCCCAGAGAATCCTCAGTCCAAGGATTCTATCTGTGTTCATGGCAGGCCTCTACCATGTCACAGCACTTAGGAAAAACAATGCCTTTCTTTCTGTCCATGCATGGAAATTGAAGGAGGAACACTGAACACAGCAGAAATCTAGGGCCTATTTGCTCTAGCAGTATTCACATTATTAAGAAATAAGCAAATAATTTAATTCTAAAAGACAGATGCAGAATAATTTAATTTTCTGTTTTATTACATGAACTTCTTGTCAAATTTAAGGCATAATTTAAAGAAAAATCCTAAAATGATTAGCTAAAAACAAAAAATATTTCTTTGATATAATTTCAAATCTTTTAATTAAATAACATTGAAGAAGAGGACTTGCTAACCACTGAGAATAAAATCAGAGGTT